CAACCTCCACCTCCTGGGCTCAAGCAATTCTCCTGCCTCAGCCTCCCGAGTAGCTGGGACTACAGGCGTGCGCCACCATGCCCAGCTAATTTTTGTAATTTTAGTAGAGACGGGGTTTCACCATGTTGACCAGGATGGTCTCGATCTCTTGACGTGATCCACCCGCCTCGGCCTCCCGAAGTGCTGGGATTACAAGCATGAGCCACCGCGCCCGGCCGACTATCCTTTTTCTAGCTACACCAGCCCTATGCAGTTTACTTAGATGTTCATTCTGTATTTTCTCATCTGTAAAACTGCAAGTTGCCATACACAGTTATTGTGAAGATACAATGAAATAATGAATATGAAAACATTTTGTCCAACATCAGATGAAAAATAGGCTTTGAATCTTCTCTTCTTTTTTTCCTTCCATTCTCTTTCTCCCTCCTTATGTTTTTAGACTCACAAGTGTCACAGAACTGGTCCCTTTGAAAAACAGTATGTTGGTAGCTAAGACTTTCCTGATTACATTTAGCCAGGATTTTGTTTTCCAGTCAGGTTGTGCACAGCCTGAGGCTTCATCATATTGCTTCTGACAACTTTGTGGCAGGCAGCAATAGCTGGCCAGCATTTGGTTTATAGTACTCAAGTTCCTTATAATGCCTTGCAGATGCTTCTTAAGCAGCACAGTGAGGGTTCCATAGTTAAACCCACTGAATCCTTCTAGGAGCTTGCAGAGCTAGAAACTGCCCTCCAGGAGCAGCATGAAGTGAATGCATCTTTGCAGCAGACCCAGGGAGATCTCAGTGCCTATGAAGCTGAGCTAGAGGCTCGGCTAAACCTAAGGGATGCTGAAGCCAACCAGCTCAGGGAAGAGTTGGAAAAAGTAACAAGACTTACCCAGGTAAGTAGGAGCATGAAGCCAATGAGAAACTAAGTACCCTGTGCCTTAAGATACCATCATTCCTTTATTTATGTCTTAATTTAAGATTAGGCATTTTAATACAGTATATATGGAGTGATGAGGAAGTCACAATTTTGGAGTCAGACATTCTGAGTGCTAATACTACCCCTGTGTGAACATGGGCAAATCAGTTCATAGCTCTGAGCCTCCCAGCCTGGTCCTCCTCTGTAAAATGGCTTATGGGGAAAATAAATGAGATAATGGACTTGAAAGCACCTGGCAGTTGATAATAAATGCTAGTTTTTCCTTCTTAGAACAGGTTTAAGAGACCTCTTTTAGGTTGATGGTAAGTTGTAGTTTGCTGTCTCCTTTTAGGGTAAGTTGAAAGATCCACCTAGTTAAAATTATACTTGCAAATTACAGAAAACATATCCAATAAATATTTATTGATTGACCATTGAGGGCCAGGTGCTGTGGATTCTCTAGGAAAAGCACAGACATGGTCGCCATCCTGTGGAACTGACAGGTGGAACAGGTGTGGGAAAAAGACAGGGACAGGATTCTTTGGCTAAGGAGGAAGTAGTCAGAAAAGACCACCCTATAGAAATGATGTTTCAGCTGATGGCTGATGGATGAGTAGGATTTGGCCATGCAGAGGGGACAGAGTGAAAAGGGATAAAGTTAAGATATGTGTATTCTAGGCAGAGCAGTAAGGAGAGAGAGCATATAGTACATTTGAAGTGCTGAAAGTATGCCTCCAGGATGCCAGGAGCAGGGGGAGGAGTGGGAAAAGAGAATGAGAGGTAAAGGCAGAGAGGCAGGCAGAGCCCAGTTATAATATATTCTTTATCAGATTAAAAATACAATTTATTAGCCAGATGGGCTGCATCTTCTTTCAGGAAACCCACCTTAACCTTTCCTTTCTGCCTGCTGAAAATCTGGGTTCAGGACTCTACATTGGTTTTCCCATAACCTGTACACAATAAAGCTGTTTGTCATGTGTATGATGATCATCTGTTTAGATGATCCTAGATGATCTGTTTGTTTTACCCCAGCTAGACTCAGAGCTCAGTCAATACTCAGATTATATCTGTTTGTTTCTGCTTTTTCAGTGCCTGGCACATGAGAAGCATCAATATGTGCTTATTTGGTGAAAATGAAATAAAATAAGATACTTTGAATTTCAGGAATGCATGTAAAAATAATTCATTATGATTAGAAAAGGAACTAGAAATTGGTCTCACCCTAGAGATTCTCATCTAAAAAATCTGAGATGGAGTTTAAGCATCTGCATTTTTAACAGGCATAACTAGTGTTGATGCAGTTTTTTGTTGCTGGTGGTTTGTTTTTGGTTTTTTTTTTTGAGATGGAGTTTTGCTCTTGTTGCCCAGGCTGGAGTGCAATGGTGCAATGTTGCTCACTGCAATCTCCGCGTCTTGGGTTCAAGCGATTCTGTTGCGTCAGCCTCCCGAGTAGTTGGGATTACAGGCATGCGCCACCACGCTCGGCTAATTTTTTATTTTTAGTAGAGACAAGGTTTCTCCATGTTGGTCAGGCTGGTCTTGAACTCCTGACCTCAGGTGATCCGCCCACCTTGGCCTCTCAAAGTGCTGGGATTACAGGCGTGAGCTGCCGCGCCCTGCCAATACAGTTTTTTTGAGGACCACAGTTTGAGAAATACTGGTCTAAAGGAAAGGAGAGCAATAATTGTTGGATCACTTGCAGAGAGCTTTTAAAGGTAGGTGGTTTGGCCCACCCTTGAAGATCCTGATTTGGTATAATTGAGCTGAGCTGATTCTGATACTTAATCCTTCTTAAGTGTTACTAATAGTTTAAGGATTGTGTGAAAAAATTATCTTTGGTTTTTAAATTTGGGAGTACGAACATAAAATTGAGTTGTAAAACTATAGCTAGTAAGGGATTTTGTGTAATGTAAATTTATTTGTGCCTTTTAAAATCACAAATTATTGCTATTTCATACTTTCATGTCATTGCTTCTTATGGTGACAGGTAGAACAGTCAGCCCTTAAAGCAGAACTTGAGAAGGAAAGGCAAGCCCTGAAGAATGCTCTTGGAAAAGCCCAGTTCTCAGAAGAAAAGGAGCAAGAGAATAGTGAGCTGCATGCAAAACTTAAACACCTGCAGGTAGAGATTTGTTGCTTTAGAACACATTCTTACACAGAATACCCAAAGATGATGATATCTTTAGTCAGGCACTTAGCAGCCTGCTCTAAGCAACTTGAATTACTAGAAAAAAAGGAATTCTGGGAGGAGCAGCACCGTAGCCCCTGTTCTCTTGTGACCATGGTTTTAAGATTATTATTTGTGAATCTCCTTTTGTTTTTATGATGGTGCGAAGACATAGAGGCAGTATCAGTAGTAAACGATATGCCGTGTAAACTCATGGGCAAAAGCAGTATCTTGCATTTCTTCTAAAAGCAGATTTGTCACCAGATCAAACTAAAATGATCAGATTGGTGCATTCCTCTTCCACTGAAATATCTTTGTAATTATCCAGGAATTTAACTAGAGTGGGTTGCAGTGGGATTTCTTATCTGTAAACAGTTTTTCACGATCCTCAAAGGATGCTATTAAAAATATAACCACTTTTTGTGGGAATGTGTGACAATATTTTTGTAGCTGTTCTCACAGTAATCTGCTGAACAAACTGCAGGAAAAACAGGTGGATAAGATTTTTCAGATAATTAAACTCCCAAAAAAGACAGATGTCTGAACAAACAAGTACCTGAATCAATACTCAGGTCTCCAAATCTATAAGGTCAGGGGCCGCTTGACTAGCTGAGATGGTAGCTGTTATCACCAGAAATAAAAGGGCAGAGTTTATGTGGCTTGGAGGAAGAGTTCCAAAATAAACCACGCAGGGGGATTTGAGAGAAATAAGACAAAGCTCACCCAAATTTTCTCTTCTTCTAACACTTCAAATATTTGTTCCTCGAAGTTTAAGGAAATCTAATAACCTATAATTTAATTTTTACTGCTCTCAGTTCCACTTCTGAAGCAAGTATCATAAAAGATATACATGTTTTCCATTACTGTGTGAGGTGTGTGTGTGTGTTGGTTCTTGAGTTATCATTTTCCATTTTTAGTATAGAAGTTTTCATATAATCACAAAAACAGAATAGCTATGACCCTTTATTTACCCATTTCCCAACCTAAATAGTTGTCAACATCCATTGTTAAATTTTGTCCACCTCTTTTGTAGCTGGAATATTTTAAAGAAAAATGTCATACATCTTTCTTTACCCACCAATACTTCAGTGTATATCTCTTACAGAAAAGGACTAATACATGTTCTTTGGGGGCCTTCTCCTCCAAAGTAGAAAGTGAAGTCAGCTTTCTAGAATACTGACCTGTGTTGTGGGACTACCTTAGTTAGAACTAGATTCTTTGGTTACTTGGCCAACTAACCTCCTGAGTACTAGTTAAACCCATTCTGCATTTCTTTGTCAGAAATCATTTAGTTGCATTGAACCAAAACCTACTCACACGAGCTCAAGAAAGGAGACAGCTTGCTAGGAACCAGAGGGGCTCTATCAGCCTTTCATGTTGAAATAGGGGCTCTCTCATTTCTCTTTTTCCATCTCTCCGAGCATCGTATGTGGCTCAGCATAGACCCCAGCCCTGAGTTGACATATTTTCAGGTCCAGCATTTATATAGCCTTGCTGTACTGAATCTTGCTTCAAATTATGGAGAGAATGAGAACCTGTTTTCTGGCTAGAAGTTGTATTGACTGGCCTCGAGTCAGTTGATCTGTGGCCAGGATTAGATAGTATTACAGAAAGGGCTGCCTTGGAGCAATGGGCATGAACAGTTTATAGGTAAAGAGGACTCCAGATAAAACAGGCACTTCAAGCATATTAATTGAATTCTAAATTCTTCATTTTCGTTAACACTATTACACTGAGTTTGAAGTAGATTAATGATAGGGAAATTTTAGGAATTTCTTTTTACTTGAAAGAGGCATTGTCTGAATTTAGTTCTGTGGTCTAGAAATGTTTGTTAGTTTGTCAGTAGTGAAAATATACTGACATGTAATAGATAATCCCTATTTCATCCCCGTCCATAGGATGACAATAATTTGTTAAAACAGCAACTTAAAGATTTCCAGAATCACCTTAACCATGTGGTTGATGGTTTGGTTCGTCCAGAAGAAGTGGCAGCTCGTGTGGATGAGCTAAGAAGAAAACTGAAATTAGGAGCTGGAGAAATGAAGTAAGGAAAAAGCAAGACCTCCAAGTCTAGAGTGGGCCTCACAACTTGAGAGTTGTGAGTGTGAAGTTCAATGATAAACTCACTTTTCTAAGTTCTATTAATGACAAATTTCTTTTGTAATGTTCTCCTTATGTTGTTTACATGACTGAGACAAAAGATTGTTTAATTTAATTTTATTTTATTTATTTGTTTATTTATTTACTTTTTTGAGATGGAGTTTCACTCTTGTTACCCAGGCTGGAATGCAATGGTGCAATCTCGGCTCACCGCAACCTCCACCTCCTGGGTTCAGGCAATTCTCCTGCCTCAACCTCCTGAGTAGCTGGGATTACAGGCACACGCCACCATGCCCAGCTAATGTTTTGTATTTTTAGTAGAGACGGGGTTTCACCATGTTGACCAAGATGGTCTCAATCTCTTGACCTCGTGATCCACCCACCTCGACCTCCCAAAGTGCTGGGATTACAGGCTTGAGCCACCGCGCCGGGCAATTTAATTTTATTTTTAAGAGGGAGTCTCACTCTTTCACCCAAGCTGGAATGCAGTGGCACAATCTCAGCTTACTGCAACCTCTGTCCCCCGGGGTTCAAGAGATTCTCCTGCCTCAGCCTCCTGAGTAACTGGGATTACAGGCACCTGCCACCATGCCCAGCTAATTTTTGTATTTTTAGTAGAGACAGGGTTTCACCATCTTGGCCAGGCTGGTCTTAAACTACTGACCTTGTGATCCACCTGCCTCGGCCTCCAAAGTGCCGGGATTACAGGTGTGAGACTCATGCCTAGCTGATTGTTTAATTTTAATTGTCTGCCACTGATTGTTTTTACATTTTGGATCTTTATTTATTTATTTATTTATTTATTGGTATTTAAGAGAAATTTTTGGTTTTTAAGAGTAATTCTTTCTTGAAAGTTCATTATATTTGGTCAGGAAGTAGAGCCACATTATACATTTTAAATAGAGAAGAAACATCATAAGAAAACAATTATTTCAAATATATGAAATGGACATTCTTGGAGCAAATATCGTTAGACTGATATGAGCCCATGTTTTCAGAGTGGCAGCAGTCATTTGATAAAACAATAATTTGCACTTAGGAGATGCTCAGTAAATTGCTATAGCTTGACACTAGTCCCTCCACACAGCTCTTTTTACTCTAGAGCTAATGTTAACAGCATGTTTGCATCTAGCATCAAAAATAAAATTTCACATTTATACCATTTTTTCACCCTCTTTACTAGCATCCATAGTCCTTCAGATGTCTTGGGGAAAAGTCTTGCTGACTTACAGAAACAATTCAGTGAAATTCTTGCACATTCCCAGTGGGAAAGAGAGGAAGCACAAGTTAGAGAGAGAAAACTCCAAGAAGAAATGGCTCTGCAGCAAGAGAAACTGGCAACTGGACAAGAAGAGTTCAGGCAGGCCTGTGAGAGAGCCCTAGAAGCAAGAGTAAGAAAAGGGCAAGAGGCAGCTGGAGGGAAGTGTTTGACAAATGTTAATGTTTTTCAGCAAATTACAATGCCTCCTTTGTCATGTAAATACAGCATAATTGTTATTTTCACTTATAACAAGTCAAGCTAGGTGTGACTAAAATTCAACCCTGAATGTGATTATAATGTCAAAGTTAGGCTTGTTTGTGATATTGTATTTTCCTTGATTTGGAAGCAAAGTCAAGTTATTTTATAACAGGCAGGTAAATAATGCCACATTCCCTAGAGTGTGGTGTGTTGCCAGAATCTGGTATTTTTTGATGATAATTCAAATGACTCCTAGAGAGCATTCAAGATAAAACCATTCCTGACAACTCATTATTAAAAAATTAACTTTTGGTTAAGATCAAGTGTAATATCTGTTCTTATCAGTTTAATAGGTGATACATCCTCTATCCGAGGACAACATATTAAATGTATTTTTGGAGCAGGGAGATGGAATAGGAGCTTGCTCCATCCACTCCACGCATCGACCTGGTATTGCAGTACTTCCAGGAACTGTGCACCCTCTCGGGGGATGCAATTGGTTTACAAAATTAGAAATCAGGGTACTCCCATTTAAAAAAAGAATTTAAGTTATAGCCTGTAGTAAAATAGATGATATTTCTATAAAAAGTTTTTATTTTGCTGAAAACATATTTTGCCTAAAAATCATTCTTGAAATTTTATTTCTTCACAGATTAATTTTGATAAGAGGCAACATGAAGCAAGAATCCAGCAACTGGAGAATGAAATTCACTATTTGCAAGAAAATCTAAAAAGTATGGAGGAAATCCAAGGCCTTACAGATCTCCAACTTCAGGAAGCCGATGAAGAGAAGGAGAGAATTCTGACCCAACTCCGAGAGTTAGAGAAAAAGGTAGGGAAGGCTTGGAAAATGAGTCACATAAGTACCTGCTGCCAGTGTCCTGCCCGCTGGCAATCAGGTCAGCTGAGATGAGTGCGATCCATAATCACCTCTGGCTGCATTGCTGGCACGGTGCTGAACCTTACCTAGGTGGGACCTGGATGCATGTCATCGAATCAAGACCTTAAGACCAGGTGTCATGGTAGATGGAAACAAGAGAATTGGGAATATAAGGGGAGAGTTTTGAGTTAATTAGGTGGTACTTAACAAATGATATTGGGAGGAGTTTGACTCCTTTGAAACCTCTTGTCCAACTGGACACATCCATGGGAAATTACTTTTAAACTCCTCATCATCCTTTCTAATACCCTGGCCTCTCCTTGATGGCTTGTCTCTATTCCACCTCAACCATCTACTCCCATTGTCACATTCTGGATCTTGTGAAGTTTTAAAAATTGCACCTACCTCTGAAATCACAAACTGAAGTGTCTTGTTCTGGTCATAACCGTTTATCTTGCCGACATCCACACACTAAAAATTTATCAACCTTTTTGAGCTTCCAATTCATTAGCCCTACCCCCCACCTTTGCTATTTGTTAAGCCCGTGTCTTTACTTACTTCCTTGTCCAACTTAAATTTCATGATCTACCAACTATAACTTTTTCTTTCTTTCTTTCTTTCTTTT